TGCACCTGCTTCAGGATTCTGTGGATAAAAAAAAGTGCAATATCATATCATATCATATTTAACCTCCTAGGACCTGGCTTCCACATATGTGGACATCACATTTAGACCAAAATACAAAATTTTGCTCTCAGAAACAAAAATCAAGTAAAAAAAATCTGGTAACTTTTTTTTTACATTCATCAGGTCCCAATCAGCCCAAATAGCAAAGAACAACTGAAAATGTATGCCATGAAAGAGTTCGGGTCTTAGGACGTTAATATATGCTTATGAACTTAATCCTCTGAAAACAAACAAATAAAAATGAACAACAACTAAAGGGTACCTCTTTTATAAAGTCTTTAGCTTCTGGGGGGATATCAGCCACAGTAGAAAGAACTAATGAAATCAGTTCAAGCCCAAAAGAAATGTAGAAAAGGCTGAAACGTGGGACATCACGGACCTCGCCCTAATTGCCAAAAATGAGAGAAAGAAAAACTTTAAAGGGTCCTGAAGAAAAATGAAAATGGTGTGTTACTCAAGATATGGAGAGCTAAAAGACAATCATATCAAGTTATTGCACCATGTCTGAGTAAATCGACTATTTTTCTTCTACTTTAATCCAACTTGATCAAATGTCTTCACTCTTACCAGTCTGAGAGCCTCTCGTAGGAGGGTCTGGAAAGGAAAGATGTCACACACTACAAGGAGCAACCAGAAGAGGGAAATAGAGGCAGAGTCTATTGCTCCTTCCCGTCTTAATCCTTCATGGCAAAGCAGGACAAGGATCTAACAAAGAAGACACATCAGAACATAAAAAACAAATCCTTTCAAATTCAAATAAATAAATAAATATAAACGTTGCTCAATTTACCCATGTGACTGCAAATAAAACTGGATTTGCGTAGTATACACCAGCATTTTTTGAAGATTGGTCACTGTTTGGACCAAAATCTTCTCCTAGTGTGACTCCCAGGTGTGCTATGGCCGTCAGGAACAACAGAGACACCACAAGCTGAGGAAAGAAAACACAGACCAGACATGAGAATAAATCATGTTATTCTATTAATAAATGTCTTTTCATAGATTTTAACCAGTACTGTGTTTTTATTTTTAATGGGAAAACAAACTGAGTTATTCCCTTCAAAGTTTTGGAGAACTGATAACAGATGCCTTCCTTTCTGCTGAAATTACAGAGTGCAGGAATGACACATCTCTTTGTTCTTCTTAATAAACTCACAAACCTTATAGGAGAATTTTCCTTGCATGTGTTTGTACAAAATGATGTACAAACTTTAACTGCTGAACCTTATCTTACTTTCACATTCTGAAATGTCGACAGAAAGGACAATTTTTCCATGTTAAGGTCCAGATTGCAGATGCGTGGTGTAAACATTTGAAACCAAAAAACAGGCAGCTGAGTTATAAAATTAAGCATTTGTGTTTTTGATGGGATGTCTTAATCAGAGAGTATTTCTTACCTGTTTGCAGATGTAAAGCTTGGACAGGTGCTTTGTGTTTACTTTTGGCCTTCTAAAGAGAGCCACCAGGTGCCACGGGGCAAAGAGCCACAGGAAGCCCAGAGGTATCCAGACAAGAACTGTCTGTTCCACACATACTGGGAGGTCTGGGTCTGGTCGCTCCAGATATGAAGTATTCTGAAGGGCACATACAAACTGTGATGACATGCCACACATGGTAAGCTCCACACCTCACCACCAGTTGATTCACCTTAGTTTAATTTACAGTCACTACTTTAAAATATTCTACTTATTGTTCAATATAGTTTCTTTATTAAATGTGTTTATTTTTCCTTCCTACCTTCCAATGTTTATATGGTGTGCACACATATTAACCTTGCAAGGTCAAAGTTCTGTTTTATGTTATATTAATACATCTTTCTTTGTTTGAGTTACCTGGGGTTTGGCTTCTCCTCCTGTCTGGCAAAAGGTGTGGTAAAGGCCTGGGAGACCTGAAGTACCACTGACAGCCTAATTGGATAGCACCACATGCTTCATTGGCTGGAGGGTGTTTCATGTTTGTTTAATTGTTTTGCATTAGTTGGTTATATGGCAGCCATCTTGTTTTCCCCCGTGTGTGTCATTTGGTTTCAGCAGGTCAGTTTATCTTATGTTTGTTTGAGGTTTTGTTAATTATTATCTTGAGTTTGAGTTGACCTCTTTTATTGGTCTGCCTGTTTAAGTTTTGGCTTCGTTAAATATATTTTCATATTTTTGGGTCAATAAAACCCCTTTTTTGAATTAAAACCACCTGTGTCCTTTATGCTTTACTGCTTGGTCCCTGACACAAACAAACACACATGCATAACAAAATCTTGCTGCCCTTCTAAGGCAAATCTCATCAATCTCCCACCGATATTATACCACAGGGACAGACTCAGAAATGTAATCAACAGCGATTAAATCCTAAGTCCCTGCTAACTGCTTGGTGTAGATGTGTAATGTGCACTTCTGGACTAGAGAGTGATGGAGGGAGCTGAATAATGAGGACTGTAATGTGTCATGAGAACAAAAGACTCTGCGGCTGTAGGCGTTTCAAAGTTTTCTAAAAGCATGACTTAGCTTTTCAAGTCGTCCTCCATCAACCAGTTATTAGGAGAAGCCAAGTTCCCTTTCACAGTCTTAATACCAGCTAAAAGATGAAATATGGGGGGTCTAGTGGCTGTGTGTGTTTTTATTTTCTGGACTAAATGGTTTGATATTTATTAGTGTGAAGGCCTTTTAATGTGTGCAATCTTGTGTATTTTTTATAAGCAACATGGATTCTTTAATAAAATTCACTCTGAGGAAAATAAAATGTACACTGCGGCAGTAAAAGTTTTGTTTTAAATATAGCCTGCCTTTCCGTTTATCACAGATTAAAAAGTTTAATGTGTAAAATTATTTTTGAAAAAGGCTAGAAATGGTTAGAGGTTTAACTATCGTCAGACCAAACAGTTCAAACTAGAAGTAGTAACATTGGAGCTTATGTGAAAAAAGCAGCAATCCTTACCATCTGAGAAGCTCGGACAAGAAAAAATGGAACATTTTGTGTTTTCTTTTTGAAGGTGGCTAATAGCGATACATAATAACTCTTTTAATGGCTAATGTACTGTATTAACTAACTTGTCTTTTGAAGCAAACATCATGTGACTGAAGCGACACATATCTGAATGTACTTTAACAAGTGTTTTTATTTAAAAATCTATAATAACACAGAATTAAAGCTGTGGCCGAGTCACAGGTTACGTCATGTCCTAGTGATTACTGGCCTGTCACATATTTACTATGTGTAAAGGGGAGGAAATGCTGATGCTGCTTATGATAAAATTCTGTATAAAACTTAATCATCTATTTTTCTGTATTCTTGGAAAATCCACTTCATGCTTCCTATGAAAAATAGGAAGCATGACCTTCTATAATGATAACAATGGACAGCTGTTCATTATTGTGTAATCTTTCTGACAAAGTCTTCAATGTATGCTGCCTTTTAATCTGTCTCAAATAGGTTAGATTTTCTCTCTTGTCATACAGTAGCATAGAAAGAAGCACAGAAAGGACTTCAAACATCTGGCTACACTATGACATCAGCAGGTTTAAGATATTATTGTGTCTATCTTTTGCAATTCTCAACTTATTTTCCAGACAATTTACTTTGTAGGTTACTAAACATATGTGTTTGCATCAGCTTATTGAGTGTTTTTTAATCTCAAGAGGCTAAAAACACTGGAGGCCACAGTGAATCAATTTACCTAAATTCTTCAAGTTTTCCTCAATTCTTCAAAGTTACTTTTTTACTTCTTAGTTATTTCTGTTTGTTAAACTCACCCAAAAAATGGACCCACAGTACTCCTCCAGAGCTGCCGCACACATGCTTTACAGTGATGGCTTCAGTCGACCTCAGCTGACCAGACAACCTGACTCCTCTCACCCTCTGCTCCGCTACTGCTGCGTTTGACTCAAATACTGCTGCTTTCTCCTCTGTCCGCCCACACTTCACTGACAATTACAGGATGTGGCTGTGAAGGACTTTGATCCATGAGGCTTTTAAGCTGAAAGAAAAAGTTGCTTATTCCCTCTGCAGAGAAAAGACACTTGGTGTAAAGAATAGAAGAACTGATGCTGATTTCTTTCTTTTTCAGCAGACGTTCTTTAGTTGGATAACAGTGTCTTCAAAAAGTCTACTACAGCTCTCCTAATGAGCCACTGAGAACATCCAACAGATTTAGCAAAGTCATTGAGCATCGAGCTTTGCACCAGCACAAAGACACTCCTCCACATTCACGTGTCTGAAGTTCAACATGTCGTGCAGATGGGTTTCTCACAAAAGAGAAGGTCTTGCATAAGTCTTACCATGCAGTTTTTGCAGTGTTGGGGGACAGCCCACCAAAGGGCATGTGTTTCAGGAAAGGGAGGGAGTGGTCTTATTAGACCCCTTTTCCTGTTATGTTTCCACTTCTCCTCAGCACGTCTTCACTGTCTTCTGAACCGAGGCTCATTTGTGGAACAAAAGTCAGATTCAATCGGATCAAAAGCAATTTGATTAGATTTGGGTAGTCATGCATTTGAATGAGGCTGCTGAAGGTTGAAGCTGCTGAACTGTAAACAAGCTGCAGGCTGTCAAACTGCTAACTAGTGAAGCTGTTTCTTTCTCATTTGCTGTTTTTTGTGTCCCATTCTGATCAGGGTGCATGCTCCAAAAACCAAAGAGCAACGTAAGATTGAGTATAGATCAACTTTCATTGTCTGCGCTCTGCAGAAATTTAACTAAAGGTTGAGAGCATCTCTGGAGGAGCAATCAAGCTTTTACAGCTTAACAAAAAAAGATTTTGTGTTGCTGTCAGTTGTGTTGATGGACTATTTTGTCCAAGAATTTCTTCTAGGCACGAGAGACTCAATCACCCATAAAATGAAAAAATCATCGCTGCTAATAAGAGTGAGTCTGTCTACACAGGAGGACAAAAATGCAACTACTTAAGATTAAGAAGAATCAATAGGTTTTGACAAATCAATAGAAGTTATGTGTTATGCAAACCTCAGACACTTCCCAAGAAAGCAAGAGAAAACACAAAATCACCTTTGAACTTCACCTCTGTACATACTCCTAACCATGCTCGCAACTAATGGCAGACCAATAAACAACTTGGTAAACAAGATTATCAGTGAATTTTTCAATAGAGACTTCTTAAATTGCAGTTGCAGTTAAATGAAGAATCAGAATGACACAGGGAAAGCACGTTAAGCAGGGAGGTTATTAAAGCGCGTGACAACACACAAGTGTGTGTGAGTCTTTTACTGATTGCCATGGTCCTAAAACTGGTTAATTATTAAAATGTCTGGTAACATCACATGACTCATTGGGTGTAAAGCATCAAGGACAGCTATGTTACACGTGAAAACAACTCATGTACGTTGTTATCCAATTACATTGACAAGGACTTGATAATAAGATATCTGTACAAAGGGTAGGGCAGTCACAGCATGAAAAAAAGATGCAGCTTTTTCAGAGAAATGGTAAAGCTGACTGTAGCAGACTTTTATGATAAAAGTAAAACCCAGACATGTAGATGAATATTTGAATAAAATATTGAATAAAAAAAAACTCTTCTCTGACTTTAAAAACTTTTCTGGTTCTAATTATATATGTACATATATACACACATATAATTGTTTTATCTGTCATCAAAACTCAGAATAGCTTTCCTTTATACTGACACTGAGCATTTTGTTCACTTGTAAAAAACTTTATCTTCTTATTTTTTGTATCTGACCAGACGCCACCAGCTGATAAGCAAAGATAAGCCAAACAAAAACTGAAATGTCTGTGCAGTGTCTCAAAAGTCAAATAAAAACAATTAGAGAAACTAGCTTTTAATATTTCAATCAAGTCAAATTATTTTAGGGAAAGCTTATTGTTTTGTGCATAATGCATAATATTTTTTTAAAAGACAGAAGATGTAATTTAATATGAAAACTGTTTTTATTGAAAAAAGAAGAAGAAAATGAAAATGAACAGAGAAAAAACAAAAACAGGAAGTCACAACTGTGCATTATGTATCACTTTAAATAGGGAGTTATGTAAAATTTATATTTTGTTTTGCCATTTTAAAAAGCAGTTATCTTTCATTAGGAAAAAAATACATATTTTCAGTGTAGAAATCAACTGTAGTTGAACATACATGGGGGGCATTACTGTAGCAATGTCATTTGTTAGTGTGCAGAGAGTTGTGAATCTGTTTGACCTGGATTAGTCTGTTTTATGAATGCCTATAAAAAAATAAAATTTAAAAAAATCTATTAAGATGTGAGACCAGAGGTTCATGACTGTGTAAAATAACAGTTTGTGCATACATCAAAACAAATTAAAACTACAATGAAAAGTTTTTACCTGTGTAAAAGACTCACTATGTGAATTATACACTAATAATAAAAAAGAAGAGTACAAATGGCCTTATTATTATTTTTTTTTTTTACTTTACAAACTACACATTTTTTCAGCTTTTTACCGCTTCTTATACTCCTCACAGCTGAGTGGCTTTTTAAACATCTCATATTTACAGAATCTTTACACATACACCCAAAAAGTGAACTTCTACAGATTTGTGTACACATCTCCTGTATGTTTAAATTATTAACATATTTTAGCAAACCTGTTTTCCAAATCCTATAAATCAGACTGCACATCCAGACACACGAGTAGCTCTCTATGCACATTATTGGATGATATCACTAGAGAAGTGCTCCCATATATAGACATTCGCTTTACATCATATTATTCACAGATACTCTGTGAGATGCACTAATGTCTTTGCTCTTTAACTGATTCATTGGTGATTTTATATCTTAAAAGAAAAAAAAAACAAAAAGCAGAGCTTTCTGGCGATTATGACATTTATTTATGGAATTTAATCAGTACACATCAGTATTATTACTCATGATTACTTTTGAGGTAATTTTTTTTTCCCAGTCTATCATGACTGTTATACAGTCACAAGGTATTTTTGGCTATTGCGTTTAGAGTTCGGACTTTGCTCACATCTGCCACCTTCAGGCCGTACTCAGGTGCTGAGAAAGAAGCTCCCATTGAGACGCAGGTGTTCCTGCACAACGTCAAGAGAAGAGAAGAAGAAGAGAATTATATAGAAAAAATAATAATTAGATCGACATGAAGTGGCAAGAAGTCTCCTAATGCATGCAACCAAAGGGACAAATCCCACCTCTCGCCTGAGACTGGAAAATAAACACACCTGAACTTCATTGCAGATTCCCGGCTTGAGCGGGCTGAGCAGTGAAACTCTTGAGCCCCTGACCCCTCTAATATTCTCTGTAGGTTCCTTTCTGTGATACCTCCTCCTGTTATCAAACCAAAAACAGTGACAGTGAATAAATAAATAAGGTTGTAAAAATACACACATAAATAATAACAAAGGAGCAATGGCGGAGGCACTAACCTGGCATTATGATAATTCTGCCCTTTGCCTGTTGAGTAGAAATGATGTGAAAATTAAAGGTTTTATGAAAGATCAAGAACAATAACCTAACAGCTATTAGAGTTTCATATGTCTGGATGTATAGAAAGACATTCATATGGGTACACATACTTGATCAACAAGCCGTTTAATGAGAGGCAGTCCCTCCAAAGCGGAGCTGTCACAGCCACTAGTCAACACACGCTCGAACCCTAACGATATCAGCGCCTCCAGAGCTACTGCTGGGTCATGAACCATGTCAAAAGCTGCAGTAGGATCATGATTAGTTTCATAATAAAAGCCCAGGCTTAATAATATATCATTAAGACGTTCTATAGCTTTTCGGAGCTATACCTGATAATAGCATTATGCAAGGCTTTTATTCCATTAAGAATTTGTGATGCTTTTTAAGTGTAACTATAGCTGAAAAGAATTTTAAAAGCTTAAAGCTGAAAAGCACTTTGAAGAAGAAACTTTTACCTCGGTGGAAGGTGACAGGCAAGGGACGGGCAGCAGCTAGTGTGCAAAAAAGTAAGAAAACAAAAGAAAGAAATGGAAAAGTACAAAATGTCAAACAAAAGTGCAAAACTGAGAAATACGACTTGTATAATATAAGCAATATAAGCATTTTTTTTCCTACCTTTATGAAAGCCATCACTCATAGCCAGCTGTACTGCTATACTCTATATCAAAGATTGTTGGCTTCACTTTTTTATACTGCATATTGCAAGTAACAATGCAAGGATAGTGACAAAAACTTGAGAGAATATATAGTGTCTGATTTTTGGAGGTTGGCCCTACCATGTTCTGAGGTCTCAGTAGGACCTTTGGAAATATGATGACCTCATGGTGCTGGTTGATTTCGCTTAACATGGGTCACAACTATCTTGTGGAGATGTAGTGCATTTCCTTCTCTGGACAGCTGACATATGACGGGCTACATGAAACCTTGTGTGAGATTAAAACTGGATTACCAAGCCTGCTGTAACACGTCTTTACCTGTGCATCTTCATATGCTATATTTGCATAGTAAAAATACAAATATTGGATACTCAAGCCTACTAGTTCAAACTCTCTGCACTCCTGACAACCTGTAAAAAATTCCTCTTTCACAAAAACACAATTACTGAAACAAACTGGTGTCTGTTTCAATGTTATCCCTTAACTAACGGCAAAAATACAGAGCAAAGTGTCCATCAGCTGATTGGATGATTTGAACTTTTCTGGTATGCTTTTACATACATGTGAATGGGTTATTCAGACCAAAACAATGTAATTTAATAAATGTTTTGGAGGTAAGCGAAACAGTGTGCAGGAGTTACATTCAATTGTTTTGCACACTATCATGTCTGCACCTCCTAATACAGTTTCGGGAAGATCTTTTGTTGATCCCTTAATAAATAATTAACTCAAGTTAAGGTCAAACGCTCATGTTTAGACTGCAAGTGCTTTAGGCCTTGTAAAATTATTGGTTTTCTTTTTAAGTGAAAACATGTGAAGAATGAAGGGTACAGAAATATTGGCTCTTGTGTGTTTTGCCAGCTTTTTCAGAACTTTACAATTTACAGCAAGTTCATGTTTATTTTTATTTTTCGTGGCTAAATAAAAAGGTGCCACACTGAAGGAAATGGAAGGAAATCTGATGTGACATGATTAATATAGAAATACAGTCCCAATCGAAAGTTTAAGACCACTTGAAAAATGGCAACAATGGCCTGTTTCAGTTTAACCGCTGTTTTCAATAAATTGCATTCTCAAATAAATGTTTTGTCTCACACCCATTTCTTCTTGTTGCATGTTGAAGCTCTACTTGGAAGCTTGTTAAGACCCAACCATGCAAAATTACTTTTTGCCATTTTTTAGCATTTGATTGGGACTGTATTATGGATCTGTCTTATCATTGAAAAGTGACTAAAAATCTTGGACATAGCAATGAAATTTCTGTGGCTTGTACACTACTGTGATAATATTTTGCCTTCCTGACTTGCATTTCATTTTTTAGGAAAGTATATTTACAATATTGCAGTATTAGAAACAATCTGGGGATACTATTTAGAATAAATCACAAGTCTCTACAATATAAACCAGAAATATTTAATTTTAAAAGAAGGCATATTTTTGTGTACTTTTTCTAAAGGTTGATGGTGTTTCCTCAATCTATCGAACTCATAGATATAATTCTCATAACTACTGGTTTATTTTTAGTGTTATTGTATATATTCTGTCTGGCCTTTTCATTGTTATTTAGAGTGATGTAACAAATCTGGTCAAATATATAAAGAGACCATACCCAATAACTCCATGCAGAGCTCTGCATCCACCCGTCCATCTTCTGTCAAGGCACCCAGAACAAGTCCATCGGCTCCTTGGATCTTCATAAGCTCTATGTCCTTTCTCATCACGTCCACTTCAAGGTCGGAGTACAGGAAGTCGCCCCCACGAGGGCGTATCATTACATAGATGGGAATTTTGACATACTGCTTCACTACATGTAGCACACCTGGAGTAAAGTACAGGTGGAATTATGTGTCATGCAACAAATGCCCAGGCTTCCTATATAAAATAGGATAAACAGACTATGGACTACTGAAGACATAGTTAATTAGGTTCAAGTTATAAAGTACATTATATGTATTTATATGAAACTCTGCGAATCCGAGGGTGGAATAAACTTGTTCAACAGTGGTTGCAGTATTGGACTAAACACAGAGAGTAGGTATGTATATTACACAGTCATAATAAACTGGTATGGCATAATGTAGGGGAAGCAGTGGAAAAGAGAACATCAAAAGTAATAAAAACCAATAATAGACATGAATAGACATAACATATGACCTTCAGAGACATGATGACAGCAAACCTGCAGAGAGGGCGGTAAGAACGACAAGGATCTACACGCTTTAATGCTTTTCTTTCATGAACTGGGCTGCAGTCACATAGAAAGAAATTGCTTAGGAAGGTTTCTAACTGACTGAAGTGTGTCTAGGTGGCATAACAAGAGCCAATCGAGTTGTCTAAATACTAAGAAAAGGTTTTTATTCTTTTATTTTACCTCTCTTAGCAGAGGCTGCATCGGAGCATGCTTTAGGAAAGAAAAGGACATAATGACATCCCAAAATTCAAAGAGATACACTACCTGACTATTATTAAAAACAAACATAGCCATAATTGACAGCTAACACATTAACTGTGTTTTTTTTATTCTATTTTATGTCATAGTCTGCTGATGTTTAGATTTGTTAAAGGGTATATAAACCCACAGGTGACCTCTAAACATCATACTCCTACTTTTGAAGTAGAGCTGTGTGTAAGAACAGTCAAATTCTATGTGCATCCTGTTTTTTTTTTCCTTAGTCCTTATTAAATCTCTTTTTCCATGGAGGTCATAGTAATGTGATTGGGAAAGGGTAGAAAGTCTTTTTGACCCAAGCCTTGTCTGTTAAATAGTATTTAAGGATTTTCCAGAAGATGGCAGTAATGCAACTTGGCAGGTTCCAGTTGACTAAAACCTGAAAGATCTGCTGGTGCCTGATGCGACAGCTTTTTTTTGTTGTTGTTGCTAGGGGTATCTGCAGATGCTAGAAGAAATCCTGCTCACCTAGACTCGGAGTGAGTCCACCCTCCAGAAGACTAGAGCACAGCTCAAGTCGACCCGCACCTGCCAGGACAGACAAGTTCTGATTACACCTATATAGACTTTTACAGCCTGTAATCTTTGAGGAATTAAATAACAGCATGCCAATTTAATACTCATGGTATTGATATGTCTGAGCTAACACCTCAATATTATGCAACCTTTAACTCTGTTTTTAAGTAGAACTGCCTGTGCATGACCAATTTAGCAAGCACGCCACAGTGAGTTTAATAATAGTACGGCATGACAGTGTTCACTACTGTTCACTTTACTGACCTCCTCGTTCAGCATTGACAGCAGACTCCACTGAGTCCACGCACAACTCCATTAAAAAGCACTCTGCCATACTGACAGTCTAATAAGAGACAGGAATACAGTTAGTGAGCAAACAAGATTACGTGAAAACTCCTCAGTTAACACGTTCATTCATCTTTAGGTTTTAACTACTACTACAGCTACCTGTTAAATCCACGTCTTATCGACTCATGGAACCGTATCAGTCGTTTAAAAAACGATATGAAGTCAGGTCATGTTTTGTGAGACTTACTTCAGCTCATACAGCTAGTCCGTAGATCACCGTTTTCCGGGTCGTTGAATTCAAAACACGCGATTAGACGGGTGAGAATATATAAACGTTTTATGATGCATTACTGGGCGAAATGAGACTTATGCCCGCCCATGAAGGGTACGCCTGAAGCCAAAACAAGCCCCCCTCCCCCCAAACGTTCTAGTCTGTGTAATATAATTTCGAAAGCCTGGTATATTATTTATATGTATATATATTTTGTTGTATATATATTTTTATTTATGTTGAGTATGTTTCGTTCCTGACAAAGAAAAAAACATAGATTTTATTTAGTGAGTAAATTTCTTATGACGTCAGAAGGTCAAAGTTGAAGCTGCACGTTAGGAAACCAGCCGGGTGACAGCACAGTAACAAACGTGCTGAAGCTTTTGCAGCACTGTTGGATAACTTCAGCACTAGCGACAAGTCTTAGAGCACAGAGATGTTAATTTCGTCGTTGCGGACAACGATTTTTTGCGGGTGCAGAAGTGCTGGAAAGGGCTTTCAGTACAGCACCGTGAGTATGACTTGTGTTAGCCGCTAATTTTAGCCAATAGCTTAAGTAAGCATCATTGGGAAGGTCACACGCTGCCAGTAATATACACAATATGTCACATTACACATCTGTCAGCTGCTCTTTTTTCAGCTTTGTTTTTAATATGTGTTTGAATTAGTTAGGACAGGTAACATTAGCTGTCTAGGTGTACTCAAGAGTAGTCACGTCCACCAGCTAACTTACATCACCCATGTCTAGGCAATGCAAACTCTTAGATTAGCATTTGAGCTGAAAAAATGACTTCAGAATGGAAGAACTAATATCATAGACCCTTTAAGAATGTTTTTGATTTATCAGTAACTAAATTTCCAGAAAACATAGTGATATCAAATTCAGCAATACCGACTTACTGCCTTTTTTTAAAAGCTTGAAGTACAGTAGGTTAATTAGGTCTTACATGTCTAAAACTATAGAATCACCTTACATGTGTTGTGCTTTCGTAATTTGTTAACATGCTGCTTATATGTGAGTATATGTTTTTGGTGCACTATATAGGAGGACAGCTAGACACTGGTGAGGTGTGGGGTAGCAGTGACCGATGGGTTCAAGGTGAGGGTGTCACTGCATCCAAAGCCACAGTGAAGAAGAAAGTGCAGGCAGCCGTGGGTGTGGGTGGAGACCAATGCCAGGGGTGATTTGTGACAGATAAGATAAACCTTTATTAGTCCCACATGTGGGAAATTTGTTGGGTCATGGCAGAAAGTGGACAGTGCAAAGTTACAAGCAGCAAAAATTAAGAAAATCAGTGGAATAGGATAAAAGGAATAACATGCAATATAAAATAGAATAAAATACTCTGTTTCGTCAGATAAATTACACTTAGTGGTACTGCACGTGTGTGTGTCTGTCTGCATATGTGTGGTCATCCACAGAGTCTTTGTTGTGGAGTCTGACAGCAGATAAGAGGAACAGCTCAGGTTGAGCGGACAAAATTAAAGAAGAAAGGTTGCGATGGGTTGGACATGTGCAGAGAAGGGATAGTCGATGTACTGGATGAAGGATGCTGAGTGTAAATGACATTTAAAATGACATATTTTTTTTTAATAATAAGGTAAAGTTGACGCTTTAATGCTTGCGTTGTCCATCATCATTTCAAGCCACTTCTCCCTTTTATTTACATTAGCGTTCACCGCTTCGAAAATGGCTCTTGAAGAGAGGTCACAGCACCGTCACAGTGGAGGGAGGAGCGTCCACTTCAGCAGCAGCAGCTTCTGTCCCCAATGCAGCCTCAAATCGCATAGTGGGTCGATGGTTACTTGGCTGCAGTGGACTGGTGGTTGGGGCTATTGTCTTGGGTGGTGTCACAAGGTACGCATGTTTTAAAATTAGTATGTCTGTATGTACTACTTACTCACTTAAGTACTGTTAACAGGCATTTACTACATTGCTGTATTTTTATGTATTTATTTTTTTATTAGACTGACAGAATCTGGGCTTTCCATGGTTGATTGGCATCTGGTGAGAGAGATGAAACCACCACAGTCAGAAGCAGAGTGGGAAGCTGAGTTTTCAAAGTACCAGCAGTTTCCAGAATTCAAAATGTAAGGTCCCATTTTTCAGAATCACAGTACATAAAGGCCTGATAAATTTAATTAAATGTGTCTCTGTGTTATGTGTTGGTCTGGTCTCTAATGCGGCAATTAGTTAATTTGGTATTATTATGTGTTTTGTTTGTTTAGATTGAACCATAACATGACTTTGCCAGAGTTTAAGTTTATCTTCTACATGGAGTGGGGACATCGTATGTGGGGCAGGCTGGTTGGCTTGGCATACATCCTCCCCACTATTTACTTCTGGAAAAAAGGATACTTCACTCGCTCCATGAAGGGAAAAGTGCTGGGTCTTTGTGGATTTGTCTTCTTCCAGGTAAGACACAGCTGTGGAAATGAGAAGATCACTGGAAATAATCATTACCTCCTGCCTGATTTAGACTTCTGCAGTGAATCTTTGTAGAGTCTACATCATAACCTGCAGAAGTAGCCATTAGTAAACTTATTTGTCCCTCAATGCTTTCTACCTCTTTGTGCATTCTCTCATTTATATTCTGGTAGTTGCAGCTTCTTTTCACACTGACATTGCTGACATTTCTGAGTCCTTATATGTTATGCTATAATTATCATTCCGTATATTGAGACGTTAATCTGTCACTGACAAGTTTAAAAACTCTGGCGTAAAAGTAGCCAGAATTGTACAGAAGGAATCAGCTGTACTGAACAGGCTGCGTTGTTAGTTTCAGATGTGTTTTGGATTTACGTCATAGCTAATTCTCAGTCACTTGTAGCATTGTTTTTTTTCTTTTTTCTTTAAATAGGTTGATTGTACTAATATTTAATTATTGTCACCATCGGGTTTATTATAAATGTAAAGTAAGGAATGTGTATACATGTGTTTGTTTTGTCAGGGCCTTCTGGGGTGGTACATGGTGAAAAGCGGGTTGGAGGAGAAGCCCGAGTCTCATGACATTCCTCGTGTCAGCCAGTATCGTCTGAGCGCCCATCTTGGTTCTGCCTTATTGCTCTACTGTGCCAGTATGTGGACAGGGCTTACTCTGCTGCTGCCAGCTCACAGGGTACAGAGGGACTCTTGCCTACAGAAAAAACATGATGATAAATTTTGGAGAAATGTAAAGTGAAACAGTCTTTTTTTTTTTTTTCTTTTCTTTTTTTTTAACTTGAATAATGGCACCTTTTTCACAGATAGCAGAAACCAAAAAACTCATGCAGCTCAGGAGGTTTGCCAAGGGTACTGGTGGACTCGTCTTCCTCACTGCTCTTTCAGGTACTGCTGGATCTTAAGTGAATTCAGTGTCACAAATGGGGTCGCAGAATCTGTCTACCGAAGTGCTGCTTTCAGTCTCGAGCCACTTTGGGGAAACAAAGTGAACTACCTGTAACTACAGCAAAATTGCACAGAAATTTCCTCAAAAAGCAGGATGTTAATAGTAAAGACGACCATTATAGAAGCATAGGTGTTCTTTAAAGTGGCACTTGTTCTGACAGAACATAGGAAGCTCTTGGTAAATGGCAATGATGCTAGAGGAGCAGTTAGAATTTGACATGTGCAAATGGTTTTCAGTCCCGGAAGAGTAGGAGTCCACAATACATCTTCAAAGTGTTCTGCTTATTTGCGTCTGCACAAAGCACAATGTGTTACATAAAATTCTTCAACTGTAAATTCACAACAAGACTGACTAATGAATACTGGAGTGACAGTCACTCAGAGTCATTCATGGCAACTCACAGCTGACTCCATTAGAGTAACCATAAGTGTACACAGTGTCACATTTCCTCTCTTAACAGGCGCATACTACGCCAGTCACCTCACAGTCTGTACGAAGCTTCACACTTTGACTCTGAAACTTATGGTTAGAGGAAAGACATTTGGGCTGCTACCCCATGTAATGTTTTTGGGATAAAATTTGAGTACTCTATCTTGTCTTTTGGTAAATGTTGAAACAAAAAGCTTATTCATCTGATTTGATTTTAATCGAAAGGTCTTTTGTAAAGTTGGCTCTTAGATGGGTTGAGTGGTTGTGTAGAAAAGTAAAGTTAATGTAATTAAAGGCAATACAAATGTGGTTTAATCTCTATTCATGGAGATGTATTTGAATCATTTATGCATGTACCTTTACACAGGTGCCTTTGTCGCTGGTTTGGATGCTGGGCTTGTTTATAACTCCTTCCCTAAGATGGCAGATAGATGGATTCCTGATGATCTGCTGGCCTTCTCTCCGACCCTCAAGAATTTCTTCGAAAATCCCACCACTGTGCAATTTGATCATAGAATTTTGGTATGCTATTATAGCTAAAAAATGTTGGCATTTCATTGTTTTTATTCTAATTAAACATAATATTTCCACGTTTTATAACTTTTTTAGATTGATGTGTAATGAAATGTTAATATGTACCCCTCAAGATGTCTTTTTCTTTTTCCAGGGGATTACTTCTCTGACTGCAATTACAGGCTTGTATCTGTTCTCAAGGAGAATGATGCTTCCCAAGAGGGCTAAGATTGCCATCAGCCTCCTGGCAGCAATGGCCTATACACAGGTAGGCTAGAAGACACTGTAATTGCTATACAAATAGGTCCATTACCCTTCAGTATAAACAAATTGTGCTTTTGTGCTTTTCAGGTTGCACTGGGTATCGCCACGCTGTTACTTTATGTCCCCACTCCGCTGGCTGCAACTCACCAGTCTGGCTCAGTGGCTCTTCTCTCGCTGGCTATTTGGGTTCTGGCAGAGCTTCGCAGAATGCCCAAATAAATTTCTGCTGTTTTACAGAGAAAACCTATCCCTGGTTACTGCAGGTCAAAGTTTTAAGAGGCAGTAGTGAACTCGAAAAACATAAAAATGTGTTCCTTATTTAATGATGGACTTTTCTGTATATGCTGAAGTATCTGTTCAGTGGGGTATGTCAGCCCCCACTTAAAAAGCTCAAACAATTTCACCCCTGCACATTGCAATCTTTTTTTTTTTCCCCAGTCATGAGTAATAGAAATCACAATACAAGTTAAACTTTATTTAAATAAAGATAATATTCCTAAAGAGGGAAAAAAAGAAATCACATTCATTAAATTCAGTTTTACTTGAGATTTTTTCCACCGGTCATCCATGTCCCACTTGCTGTGCTCATGATACATTACACAGGAGAGGCCTTAAAAAAAATATGCATCAAGGCCGTCATCAGGAATACACTCAAATGATTGCAAAAGCTTTTGCTGTCAGAGAAACCCAACTTGTGAAGTGTTTTGCTGTGCCAGGAATTTCACTAGAACATACAAAACAAAACAAAATTTTCAGCTTTAATAACCTGGCAGTTGAAGGCTGTGTACATGGTTTGGAGTCAGCTGGTTCTTCAGAAATGTAGACTGAATTACTGTATTTGTTGATGTTCACACTTTTAAAAAGATGTGCTGGATGACATTTTGAAATTGTCACATGGTCGGGTGAATCTGCATAGATACTACTGCCTGTTAGTGGAAGGAGACCTGGCTCCTGGGATGGTTTATGTAATTATGTATATTTAAGCTGTAAATGTTTCCTGTTGACATTATGATGAATGAATCATAATTTGAATATTATTATGGACATTGCCTATTTCCCTTTTTTTGGACTTACAGATGTGTAAAAAGGGGGAATTTATGATGACTCTCCCAAAACACTGAAAGTGTACCAGAATGAATAAAAGCAGGTCCTCACTTAAGCTGATATACACTATTTTTTTCCTGCTGTGACAGGTCAAAATGTCAAATGTTATTGCTACAGGTACTTTGTACTTTATCTCACTGAAAGGACTTATTTTAATAAATACAATTTATGTATAGTCTGATAAATTCACACGCCAGTCCATTTTGCATAGTAACTGTGTTTTTTGTTTTTTTTATTATCTCTGTACAAAATATACACATTTTGAATATGTTATGCAACCAGTTTAGGCTAGCTAGACAGTCAGTACCACGGGTTAGTAGGTTTTCATTGTTCTAGACACAGTACATGCGGGTATAGACAGGTTTTCCTTGTGTTTGGGGAAAAGAACATAACTGTGGGCAGGAACAATCAGAGCCAAACCATTCTTCCAGAATGTATAAATGTAAAAACCGCAGAACATAAAAAAATAAGAAATTGCAGGGCTGGAAGTGCATATTTTTACCAGGGCCGTTAGTGCACCCTTATAGTGTGCTCTGAGAAGAAGGAGATGTTGGGTGAGTGGAGAACATTATTGCTATTTCATGTTTGTTTCAGCTTTTAAGACACTTGGCCGATTTAATTACGGCCCGGGTGCCTTACATCATCTCACATTTGTGTTGCTTAGTTCTAGTGTGAAAAGAAGCAAATAAGTGGTTGCAAATTGCTCTAAAATAATTAATCTGAGCCTAATGGATGGGTTCACAACCTAAAATTGCACTTAACAGCGTGCAGGTAAACTACATGTAGTCTACCTCTTATCTCTGATTGCCCCTTGTCCAGCTTGATACCAGGTAACTCCCTCTGTCTTCACCCACAGGTGAGCTAAATGTCTTACCTTAAGTGGCTTTATGTACCTTTTTAATTGATATCTTTTCTTTGGTGTTACAGAGAGAGGGCGAATAAGAAATGGAGTGAACAACGGAGGCACAGAAAAAAGAAAACTGCTATCAAACTTTGTCTTGCACTTGCTACACACAATCACTTTATGCCTCCTTGAAATGGAAATAGTCAGATTTAATGCAAAAAGGGTGTGGAGACTTTTGTGTTTTTTCAAGTGGTAGAACCTGTGACAACCACATGACATTTCAGATTACAAGAAGTTCACAAATACAATCTGCAATCTAATAAACTTCTCTTTGAATGTATATTCATAGACTAGTACGATTGTGGTATGTCATTCCCATGTCGAGAGAAGCTGCTAGGGTCAAAACGGCTCATTAAATTATAGTGCAATCCCCACATTGTACAGCCTAATATCACACCACTGGGAATGCTAGAAAATGTACAACAGTCAATAGACAACTACTGTTAGGATTGTAATAGTTTGGAAGGCCGGGAATTACTCTACCAAAATCCTGTGAATGAAGGTGGGTGTTGTGTCACAAGAGTCTTACATTTGTAAGACAGATGACATCTCCTTCTGTTACACATGCACGCACACATACACAAAGGGTGAGGCACCTGTGAATGACTAGGACAGCAGACAGACGAGCAGACTTTGGAGTATCTCTGTAAATACATAAGTAGATATTAGTGACATCATCATGCGATATTGAAATCAGTCCCTTGTGGAAAAGAACGAGTTTGAAGCTCCCTCCGTAAGACGGAATCGCTCGGATCACCAGTTTGTTGGTTGCTCCCTCAGGAAGTGTCTTTTTCTCTCTTGTCCACCAGGTGGCTGTAGATTCATTTCTATTTGTATGGCCAGCAGATGAGCCATGAGTCTTACGGCTCCAGGAAGGTGTTACCCACATGCACAGAGGCAAGATCAGGTTCACAATGCCATCTCTCAGCCATTACGGAGGAAAGGGGAAAAGTGATCTGAGATCAGGGTTTAAGGAGAGCATCCTTCTTCTGAGTTCAACCATTAAAAGGCTGTGATAGTCCCTCCGTCAGCAAGAGCAATAAAAGTTCAAATAAAACAGGCAGGGGCTGGTTGGGTGTTAGATGTGCAGGTGGCTGTGAGCCCACTGCTTGCTTGCTTTCTCTGTGTCTCTGGGATAAAACATAAGGTTCTGCATGATGAGGATGGGCGCTGGGGACTCTCCTTTGTTGCTTGGAGGAAGCCACTGAGGGGTCCAGTTAGAGGGAGGGGGCCCTCTCTGTGTCCTCAGGACTCAGCTCTCAACAGAGACACGAGCACAAGCTTGCAAGTCGGGAGACAGCCACACACACGCAACACACATGCAATCAGACTATTTCTCTCTCTCTCTTCAATCCCGTATTCCTCTTACACACCCACACACACGTACCCCTCTCTGGTGCCAGTGTCCTCACTGGTCCAGATGTTTAGATGACATTGTCAAACAGCTGCATGGACTGCATGATGTTCTCATCCTACAAAAAGGCAAGAAATGTGCATGAGTTTATATGCAATTTGTGGTTTTATGGAGAGTTATGTGCAGAAAATAGTTCTTGGTCAGGTACAGTGATTTCCTAGAAAGAGCAAGACTAGATGTCTCCCCTGACTTTCTTTATGCTACAATTAGCTCACTCTCCAGTTGTAGTTACATGATTAGCGTGGTGGGATTCTAAAAAAGTGCATTTCTAAAAATGTTTTCAATACTTCTTCAGGAGTTGGAATGCTCTACCTTTTTGCAAGACTCAATGAATTCATCTATGGTGACCACCCCATCTTTATTCCGGTCCATTTTCTGAAATGAAAATACAACAACCAGACATTTATTTGGCTAACAGCATCATTGTTTTCCCCAAAACAATATTGCTGCCATCAATATTTTTCTGCTTTTAAACAATCATTAAACGAGGGGGAAAGAAAACATTGTTTTGTTTGACCTGGAAGAAGCTCTCCACATGTTCTCTTGGGGCATCGTCCTGCATGGTGGGGTATGTGTATTTCCCCATCATGTCATAGATGGACTTCATGATGTCCAGCATCTCCTGTAAAGTGTATCGAGAAACAGAGAAAACAGTATTGAGAATTCCCAATAAAATGTTTTTTTTTATTGTGTGATGGAAAATGTCATTGATAAATATTCTGCCAGAAATCTCCACATACTTGCAAAATATTGTTAATGAGTAATCATCAGCAAGTAATTCAAAGGGACCAAGAAATCAACAAATCCAACACAATCACATGTGTGTTACCTCTTTGGTGATGCAGCCATCCTTGTTCAAGTCATAGAGGTTGAATGCCCAGTTTAACCGGTCATTAATGGTCCCTCTCAGGATGATAGACAGGCCAAATACAAAGTCCTGCGACAAAAGCGGGAACGATTTCCTGCATTGTGTTATCTTTACTTGATTGATTGATTGGTAATTTATTTCAACATGTGAACAATATACAAGTACATTTAGAAAAGAAAATAAGAAAGAAAAAAATACTGTACAAATTACATACAAAAAAAATTATTAATTTACATGTTGAAAGGGAGTGGGAAGAAGTAAACACTTATTTAATCCCACCCCTT